CTACTTCCATTTCCATACTACCAATTCTTAGTAATGGTGTTTTTTCTGCCTGTTTCAGGCTGGTATGTTTTAATAGTATGGTATTTTTCTGCTTGTCTTAACCTGCCTCAAATCCTTTTTGGAGTGAGTAGAATGAGATGGAGTATATTTAGATTTATATGCATCCTCAGTTTATAAGAGAAATTAATCATAGACATTATAAGTGCTGGGGCCAAGGTAACAAAGCTTGGATAGACCTAGACTTGGAATCCAGATTTCTGAGCAATTAGTCTGTGTTCATTTTATTATGCCACCTCCGTTCCCATTATTAACTGTAAGGTAAATACCAAAGACACCTTGATTGGAAAAGTGTCTGAACTTGACAGAACCATAACACATTTGCTGTCCCTGTGAATCCTCTCCTCAGATTGACCCGGTCTAGCTCTACTGTTCAGTTTCTCTTCATCAGTCCAGGTCGCTAGCACCAGCACAATAAAAATTCACTTCAATTTATCCAAAACCTAAGCAGGATTGGCCAAACATTGATGATTTAACTACATGGTTTTCGTCAGTCAGGACTTAAACATTAAGAAAGAAACACAAGCCCTAAGGGAAAAAATTGGTTGGCTCTAAATGCCGCTGAAGCTAAGATAGATGTCTATGATGTACTGCTAGCTAAAGATAATCTTTTCTTCAAGTTCTTTTTCTGCCTAGCAGAATCCCCTTGGACTTACTTAGGTCGAAGTCCAGACATTTGGATTTCATCCAAAATGCTCAGTTCCCGGTTTCAGGAGAACTCAGGCAGTCCTGTCAGTTAAAGAGCGATAGCGGCACAGGAAATGCTGCCATGCCTTTATCAATATTCAAGCCCTGGCTGAGCGATCCAAATCCCATATAGACGTTTGTATTTCTGTCTCTCCATTGATCTAGGAGCCCCAGTGGTGTCATCCCAGGGAGCTGAATGCCGGTTTATTTAATATACTGATCTTTGAATTCCATTAATATAAATGGCCGCTTACAGTGTTAAACCTGTCTGTCGCAAAGACAGATATCTGCTAAAGCGATGATCACTTAAGGCGCCACCTCTTCGTGATGGCTATTCCCTTGCCTACCATCTCTGGCAATAAAGATTTAATAATAACAATGAGTTTTCAGTGAAGAATTATAAAGGTCATCAGATAGCCCTGGGGTAACTGGCCAGTCCAGGCTCTCAGCACCCGCAACAAGGCAGACAACAGGCCCACAGCATAACCTAGGTCAACTGAGAGAGGTAACCTGTCCCATTGACTACTTCATCCGACAGATACCCGTGGAGCCCCTTCTAAGATTCAGGCCAGAAATGCTTGCTGCGGATACTGTCATAAATATAAAAGACACTGATGGTTTTCAAGTAAGCAGACTGTCCCAGCTCTGACAAAGGAAGTGGAAGGAACATATATGGCTGAAGGCCACTAGAGACAGACTTCAGAGAAGCTCAGCCTGAGAAAGGGTCTCAGGGAGGGAAGGGAGGGAGCTGCACACAAACAGGGAAGACTCAGCCCAGGGAACCGCAAGTGCCAGGGCAGAGCCAGGAGCATGTGAACCCTAATGTGGCTACAGAAGCCCACAGATGAGGGGACACATGACTGAGTTTGCAGAAGGGGGAGAAGGGAGCTCAGAGCCACACAGAAAACGGCTGGGAGCTTAGATTGGAAATGCCACAGAAAGCCACTAACGTCTTTTAAGCAAAATAATGACAAGATCTGAGTCACATTTTAAAGTCACCAATATGACTTCTGTGTAGACTATAGAGAGGCAGAGCAAAGGCAGGAGCACCGGGAAGGGGCTCCTAGAACCCAGCTGTTCACTATGCAGAGCAAAAGCAGGAGCACCAGGAAGGGGCTCCTAGAACCCCGTCGTTCATTGTGCAGAGCAAAGTCAGGAACACCAGGAAGAGGCTCCTAGAACCCCGTCGTTCATTGTGCAGAGCAAAGTCAGGAACACCAGGAAGGGGCTCCTAGAACCCAGCAGCTAATATGACTTCAGGAGTGCTTCATGTTCATCTTTGACTTACCCTGTGGAAGTTTTGCCGCATTTCAGCACTTGCCCAGAAGTACAGGGCTACAGAGAGGTAGAAATGAAGTTAGCTACTCACTAGTAACTCAGATGAGGGAAAAACTCAGGGCTACATTTAAAGGTGATCAAGTACAGGACAGCCAGTTACCATGCACAGCTGTTCACCAGATGTATTTTCATCACTACCATGTCTCAAATATATCCACTAGAAATCACTCCAAAATGAAATCACGGTGACTACAATTCTCCTACCCACTGATAAAGTTTGCAGGTCTTGCCCATAAACCTGAACTAAACTTTAGTCATTCAAGTTAGTCCACAAGGAGTCCCTGCCGTTCCGTGGGAGGTCAGGCTCACATGAGGAGCACCTGGTTGCCTTGGCCTCTCATTAGCTGTGCAGCTCCCAGGTAGGCCTTTGAGCTACAGCTCCCTCAGAGGTCAGGTGGTTTTCTAACTGTTTCCTCAGGAGATGCTCCAGGGCCCAGGAGATGAGAGGGAGACCAAAGGGATGAGGCTCTAGGCCTCACCCCTGACTCAACTGGATCAGCCAAGTAGTATCTGTTTCCTCCCTGAGGCTCTGAAATTTCATTTTAAAGTAGGATTTCCCTGTCCCAGAATACTACAAAGTATGTAACTACATGATCGCAGAGGACACTTGTAATTGTGCAATCTGCCATTTGTCACTCAGCCAAAGCCCGACACGACCAGCCTCTACTCTCACTGCTACGGCCAAGACCACCATGACTCTTTTCGCTGGATCCACTGGATACTTTTCAGTCCTTGCCCTACTTGACCCAGAAGCAACATTTGAGCCTGTGGACCAATGGCCTCCTCCTGGGGACTCTCTTCTCACCCACACTTATGGCCTCGAGTGCCATCAGCACACTGATGGTTCCACAATGTATAGTTCCAGCCCAGGTCCCTCTCCTCAGTGGCACCAGGTGCACATTTCAGCTTCTGAACACCTCTGTTTGCAGTTCCCACAGCAACAGAAACAACATAGTCACAATGGAGCCTCCTGTTTTTCCCAAAGCCTGGCTTTCCTCGTTTCCATGTCTCGTTGTAGCTGTGTGTAACAGACTCCTCATGCTTAAGGTCTTCCATATAATGAGCTCAGCAGTTGTGTGTGTGTTTGCACTTTTGCATATGTGCACATTTGTATAAAATCTGCATCCTTGGTTAAGGCCAGAGCTTAATAAGCTATGAACTTGTCATCTCTCCTCTCCATTATCATAACCCCTCACATTCAGTATCTATTTCCTAGATAAAAAATGTACTGACCTAGGCACCATTTATTCAGGACCTAACTAAGGTAGCAGCCAGTCAGATTGATAAACTAATGTGACACCAGCTGAGTAGATGGGGTAATAGACCAGGCAGCACTCCTGGATGTTATAGAACTCTTCTGGAAGCAAAGGCTAAACCTAAATGGCTTTGACCCTTAATTGTGGACAATTATAGACATTATAGGAAGCTGGATGCTTAAAAATCATATTCAGTGAGCAGAGCACTTGGTAACCTCCATATTCCACTGCCTTTGGGAATGCCTGCTCACCCTGACCCACACTAGTTGTTCCTCACCACTTTAATAAAATTTTGCTTTGTTAACCCTAAACAATTTTGCAGTTCATATTACATAGTACTTTTAAGCCTCAGGCATATTTCATATATAGTAGTGTTGTGTAGACAACAAAGATTCTGAAAATAAGAGGATAAAGGAGAGGACTGTGATAGCGCTATTGTACCACAACGGAGAAATCACAAAGCTGCAGCCCATTTCTAAAGCACTTGTGATCAACTCCTGCACATACGAGGCCATAGTTACCCAAATCAGTACTTCAGGACAGCAACCACAGAGAATATTTTCTAAGCATTAATTATAGCTAATGTGTAAATCAAAGGATAAAAGCACTGTCATTAACTTCCCTTTATTTGTTCTTAAAATTCTATCTGCAGTCGCTTTATATTTGAATATCTTCATTCTTTATCAGAGATCATTCACAGGGAGAGAAGGCAATTAATGAACACAATCAACTTTCTTTGCCCACGTTTCCCCGTGTCAGATAAATAACTCTATGTCATCCCTCTGATATCTTCTCCACACGTATAAATCTTAAAGAACCATTCTGGTAACCTCACACTACTCAGACTATTTTGGAATATTCTGCCCAACTCTGGATGCCATATATTAAAAGTGTTGGCAAGCTAGATGACATGGTTTGGATCTGTGTCCTCACCCAAATCTCATGATCTCATGTTGAACTGCAATCCCAAATGCTGGAGGTGGGATCTGGTGGGAGACGATTGGATCATGGGGGTGCGTTCTAATGATTCAGCACTATCCCCCAGTACTGTTCTTGTGGTCGAGTTCTCATGACTGTTTAAGTGTGCAGTACCTCCCCCCGTCTCTCTTCCTCCTGCTCTGGCCATGGAAGAGGTTCTTGCCTCCCCTCTGCCTTCCACCACGAGTGTAAGTTTCCTGAGGCCTCCCCAGAAGCTGAGCAGATGCCAGCATCATGCTTCCTGTACAGCCTGCAGAACCATAAGCCAATTAAGCCTTTTTTTTTTTTTTTTTTTTTTGTAAATTACCCAGTCTCGGGTATTTCTTTATAGCAATGTAAGAACGGACTAATATGCTACAATTCATCCAGAAGAGGGTGATGACAAGGATGCAGTGATAGAAACTGCCACTTAAGGAACTATCAAAAATGAGGACAGAGAAGAGAGGGTTTGGAGAGGACACGATGGCTGTTTTGAAGCACCTGCAGGTCACATGGAACAGGAGGAGCACGTTCAGGTCCCTCAAAGGGAGTGTAGTAGCTAATGGTGCAGACAGACTTTGGGTTCCAACCCTGACTCCAGCCAGTGCTCGCTGCATGGCCTCACGGGGGACCTGGGATCACCTCGCCCAGCTGTGGGCCAACTGCATGAGACAGTCGAGGAAAGTAGTGAGCATGGTTCTTGGCACATGGGAAGGCACTCAATAAATTTTATTGACAGTAATCAACAGCAGTTTGGAACTCTGCAAAGAATTCCCTGTGGGGGAAAAAAAAAAAAATTCCAAACTGAAGTCAGAGGTAACTCTCTTTGCTGACCATGGTGAAATCTGAGGTTGTCCAAAGGCAGTTGGCAAAGAATATCATCCATACCGGTCTGCCAGGGTCCGTAGCACCTCGCTGCACTGCGCCATCGGCTCTCCCGGACCCCCAGCTCCCCGACTCACCCTGCAGATCTCGGGACTTATCAGCCTCCATAAACATGTGAGCTAACTCCTCATCGTAACTCTTGTTCTTTCCTTCTTATTGGTTCTGCTTCTCTAGAAAACCCTGACTGATAGATCCAGGTCTCTCTGGCTCCCCCAGTCACACACAGTCCTTCAGACCACAGCTGCAATCTCAGTCCTCTCTAGCTTCCAAGCCTGCTCTTGAAGAGAACAGCTTCCTAATGGTACATCTGTAGGCTGGTACCAGTCTGCAAGGAGATTTTCAGTAGCTTTGGAAAAGAGGAAAAATATTATGATTAATGACAATCTGAGAGTTTTTACTTATTTTTTTTTATTCTAATATAACGTCCTCCTACCATTTTGGTGTTGTTTGATTTTTTTTTTTTTGGACGGAGTCTCACTCTGTTGCCCAGGTTGCAGTGCAGTGGTGCTATCTCAGCTCACTGCAAGCTCCGCGTCCCAGGTTCATGCCATTCTCCTGCCTCAGCCTCCCAAGCAGCTGGAACTACAGGCGCCTGCCACCACACCCAGCTAATTTTTTTTTTTTTTTTTTTGTATTTTTAGTAGAGACGGGGTTTCACCGTGTTAGCCAGGATGGTCTCAATCTCCTGACCTCATGATCTGCCCACCTCGGCCTCCCAAAGTGCTGGGATTACAGGCATGAACCACCACGCCCAGCCCCATTTTAGTTTTATATCTTTTGTGGGATTGTGGTGAGAAAAAAAAACAAATATTATTTTAATCAATGTCTTCACTTAGAAAATGTAAAGTTGGTGACCTGAATGTAGTTTACATTTTTTCTGCAATTTTAATGGTCTATGAAATTCCTAATTCTGGGAAGCCCTGCTCTTAAAAGCATTGAATGTTTATGACCTTGATGGTGGTGATGGTTTCACAGGCGTCTACATAGCCCCAAACTCATCAAGTTGTATACGTTCAGTATGTGCAGCTTTTGACACGTCAATCATATCTCAATAATGTGGTTTAAATATGTATACACATATATATGTGTGTATATACATATGGACCATATATACATATTTAACATATATATGTATATACACATATATACATATATACATACATGTGTAAGTAGAGTCCAGGAGTATCTGTGTGTATATCTGAGTGTGTGCATATATACAAAGCTTGGAACTCCAGTACCTCTGAATACACTTACTTGCTCATTCAACCAGCATTCATTGAGAGTTTACTATGGCTCATACTCTGGCCAAGCCCTGAGGATCCAAACCTTCTCAAAACTATAGACTAGCAGGGCTATAAAGTAAAATTATCCCATGCGTATACATTTGTATACACATATATATACATATATATGTTAAATATGTATCTACAATCCATGTGTATACACACACACACACATATACACACACGGGCCATACCCACCTTATGATTTTTCAACTTTACAATGGCTTTGTTGGGATATAACCCCATCGTAAGTCAAGCAGCATCTAGACCTATGGTTCTACTTAAATTTTTTTGAATTTAAGATGAGTTTATTGGAGTATTAGATGCATTCTGACAAGATATTTTTAGAATGGGTTTGTTGGGGTACGGCACTGTCATAAGTCCAGGAGTATCTGTGTATATATCTGAGTGTGTGCATATGTACAAGGCTTGGAACTCCAGTACCTCTGTATACATGTATTTGCTCATTCAACTAGCATTCATTGAGAGTTTACTAAAGCTTATACTCTGGCCAAGCCCTGAGGATCCAAACCTTCTCAAAGCTGTAGACTAGGAGGGCTATAGATAACGTAAAATCAGCTTCAACACAGTGTCACAGGGTCTATGCTATAGAAAGTGAGGGTGCTACAGAAGTGTGAACGTGGAGCCCCGCCTTGGCTAGGATGGGAAAGAAGGTTACTGAGGGAGAGTTGTACCAGCCAAGATCTGAAGGGCTGGGCAGAAAATAGCCAGAGAAAGTGAGGAGGAAGAGGGAACAACACAGAGAACACCTCGAGGAATCAGAAAGCCAAAAACAAAGTATTTGTATGATTAGAATATGAAGAGTGTGGAGGAGGCAACTGAGGTCTGGGAGGAGAGGAAGGACCAGATGGATAGAAACATAAACAGGAACCAGACCAAGAGGGGTCTGGGCCCTGCATTCAGGACTCAGGATTTCACCAAGGACAGTGGGAAACTACCAAGAGTCTAAACAGGATTAGATCAGGTTTATGGTTGGATCTTCGGTGTGGACAATGGGTTAAAGGTGAACATGGCGAACACAGGGAGACCAGCTGGGAGTAAGCAATCTTGGACAGAGACATCCGGAGCTCAGACCAGGGACAGCAGGGAGCTTTGGGCATGGTCATGGTCATGGACAGAGGATCCCATGTTTCTTTCTAGGCTGCTGGGGTGACAGCCTTGGACAGAAACATCTGGAGCTCAGACCATGGTCAGCGGGGAGTTTGGGCAAGGTCATGGACTGAGGCTCCCACATTTCTTTCTAGGCTGCTGGGGAGACAGTTGCACCATTCATTAAGCCAGGCAGCTTCAGAATGGATGAGTTCATTTGGGGACATGTTTGAGATATTTGTGGGACATGCAAAATGCAATTTCTCTCCAGAAGACAGGTGGGCCTGAGGCCGAAAAGAGGGACCGAGCATGAGATGAGGATGCAGGAGGCACCAGTACGGAACATACGGCCTGGAAAAGCCAATGCCGAGAGAAGGCCAGAGCCTGGAGAAGCCTGAGGACCACCTGCATGTAGGAAACAGCAAGAATGAGGACCATCTGCATCTAGGAAGTTGCTGGAAAAAAAAGAAGCTCCCATGACGGAGCTCTAGGAGGTGGGGCAGGTGGATCTCAGTGCCTCAGAAAGAGGCAGGAGCCACAAGATTGGTGAGGACAAGAAACACCTTCGGACTGGGAGGCCAGTCCAGGGACTTAGGGGCAGAAGACCCATGACGGGGGACTGAGGAGTGTGTAGGAGCAAGGGATGGCTAGCATGGATAGGCTACTTCAGAAATTTGGTGTAACTGGGAGGAAAGAAATGGAGTTTGGGGTGATGGAAAACCAGGGGGCAGGGAGAGGCATTTTGAGATTGAACTCTTCTGGTCTAGTAAAAAGTGTCAAAAAAGAGAGAAATTTTGCAGAGGCGTCCATAAGGGAAGGTCACTGCCAAGGCAGGTGGCCAAGCTACCCCTGGTAGGAGGGAAGGAGGACAGGTCAGGAGGATGCCAGGGAGGGGTCAGGTGCCACTGCCTGATGTCTGTTCACTCTGGAGGGAGGCAAGGTCATCTTATGAGGCTGCGCAGAGGAGAGGCTGTGTGGAGGAGGCAGGCAGGTGAAACGTTCGAGGCTGGTGTAGAAGGTGAGGCATCCCTGAGGGGAACAGAAGAGGCAGTGCCATGTTTCTGCGTCACACTGAGAGAAATGGCAGCCCCCACCTTGTGACTTTCTGGGTAGTACTTCCCCAAGCCCTCCTTGACATCACGTTTTACCTTCTCTCCCCAGTGTCTTGAGAGTGAGACCAGGTCCTTACCAATTGAATCTCAACATTTTGTGTGTCCCAAAATACCCACACAGCGCCGGACACATCACCATGACAGGAAAGCCTCCATCGAGATTGGCTGGTGTGACTTCGGCGCCTTTGCTCCCAGAGGCCCAGCCCCCACCCCACAGCCTCACAACCACCCATTCTCCCCACTAAGGAGCAGCAATTCCTTTAACTCACTTACGCGGCTCACAACGTGGCAGAGAAGTGACAGCTCACGTGCACACAAAGAAACGCAGAGTCAGTCATTCGAGCATGGCAGAGCAAGGTACCCAAAGGGAGTTCGTGGACTAGACCCATTCTTTGTCAGGAATCCGAAAGTGAGAATTGATGGTATATTAATAAATAAGTAATTAATAATATAATTAATAATAATATTCCTGACATTTTTTGTCAGGAATGTGAAAGTGAGAATTGATGGTATATTAATAAATAAGTAATTAAAATATAATATAATTAATAATATTCCTGACATTCTTTGTCAGGAATGTGAAAGTGAGAATTGATGGTATATTAATAAATAAGTATAATACAATTATTAGTTAATATAATACATAACTATTAATGTATGTGTTAGGGATTATATTAACTAATAATTAATTGTATTATAGTTATTGATACATTAATTTTATTATTAATCATTAAATTATTTTTAATAAATACATAAATTTATATATTAATAATATAATTGTATTATGTTATTAATAATTAATTAATTGATAATGTGGCCAGCATGCCAGCTTGTCCCTGAGCTCTTCAGAGTTCTGTCCTGCGGGCTGATCCCAAATTGTCCTTTAATCCAGACCCATCCCTCTCACCTACCTCCACAAAAGGGCTCAAATCACCAGGTTATTATTAGTTAGCTGATCAATAATCCATGGCGGCAGAGGAATCCCCAGAAAACCCTGCCTGTCTAGACCATCGTCCCCTTCACACCAGGAAAGTTTGGTTGTGCAAGCAAGACCCTCAGAACCCACAGACAGTAAAATCACAGCCCTTCTCCCATCGACCCTGCAGTGAGTCAGACGTCACCACCACCTGCTCTCACAGGCGAAGGAACTGTCGAGACTGAGGCCTGAAAGAGAGAGAGCTTTCCTACAGGTTGCTGGCAAATTCTAGCAGATCCGAAGTTGTAAGCCTGGGCTTTTTAATTCCCAGCCAGTTCTTTCCACTGCATTCATCCCAATCATTCAATTTTGAGCAGATAGTGTAAGAAAATCTTGAGTTTGGGTGGCCCAAGCCAAGATCAGAACACAGCCTGCCTTGTTCTCCCAGCTCCTGTTTCGTGTCCCAGAGCTGGGGGCAACCCTTAAGTCCTTTCCTCTGACTGGGCCTGGAATCCCCCGAGCTGAGCATCTCCCATCTTTATTTTTCTTACATGGTGTCAAAGTCAAGTTACGCTGAGCACTGAAATTGGTGTCTTCTGCCTCAGAGATAAAAATAGTTGGCGAAGCTTAAAGAAGTTCCGCCCCAGTTTATTTAAGGCATAATCTCAAATATCCCTTTGTCCTAATTATCATGCTATCCCCCGAAGGCAAGGAGCACAGAGAAAATCGGAGAGCGGCGCCGGGTTTCATTTTTGATCTTCAATTCGACTCTGTCAAATATTTACAAATCCCCTCAGAGTGGGAGTCCACTGGGCAAGTGTCTTTGGGTTCACCAAGTAGGGGAAAAAATTAAAAGGAAATGAAGCCAGGGCAGAATTTCTAAGGAGTAGGAAGCCTTCATTCCAAAGCTGTTCGGTGATGGTTGATGGTTTTAATGCACTGACAGGTGCTCAGCCTTTTTCACCATCTCCCTAACCTTGAACCAGGAACTGAGAGCACTTCACAGGCCACTCCATCCACGTCGCGGTTCAGCCAGGGCCAGCGGAGTCAGCTGTTTCCACGTTAGTCCTGTCCCTGGTAAGACTGTCCTAACACTGGGGTTCTATCACAAAGCAAATACCATGGAAATCCGAATTTATGATGATGAGTGTATATATTTTTATGAAAAAAAATGCTTAGGCAAACATTTTCTTTTAGGATGCTGGATTGAGCCATAAACCCAGCCTAAGGTACACCTTTGGGCCTCTGAGTGAAGTACCTGATTCCATTAAGAGTAGAAAGATCCTTCAAAAACAGCTGTGGAACAAACAAACAAATACAACCTGCAAACAGCAGTTCTGAAACAGATAGATGCTCCCTCATCAACCACTTCTCAATTCCTGCAGCCCTATGCCTATCAACACAGATGTCTTAGAGTCTCTGGGACCTCGTTCTATAGGAGACTTGTCTTCATTTTAGAGTCTGAAATTAGCGTTTCTCCCTTCAAACTCCCCCACTTTAAATTAACATGAAAACGCTAACCCTTAATAGAAGAGCCACTCAATTATCATCCGGGCAATGGATGGGTGTGAATTCATTTACTCTACCAATATTTACTGGGCCTTCGATATGGAGAAGGCCCATGCCAGGCACTGAGAGATGCTGTTACACTATGAAATGTTCTAACAATGAAATGTTTCTGTGTCTAGAATGGTTTGTAACTAACTCAAAGTGCTCTGTGCAAAGGATCCCTGCAGTGAGCGGCGTGCTGGCCACAAAGAGTTTCATCACTTACTGTAAATCACATAAACAAATAAAAGCATTATTTAAATGAGGGCCCTTTACTTACAGAAACCCTATTGCAGTTATTTTCTTTCAAGATCTAATTAGATTTAAAGCTTCATTTGGAAAACAGAAGATGAAAATGAACCTCTTATCCTAAGGGCATCTGGATGAGAATCAAATGCATACGTGACTTTTTTTTTTTTTTTTTATCATACAGCAAATTTGCCCAGGTCATAACCAAACAAAAGAACTCTGTTCTATGAGTGTAGTAAGAAGGAAGAAAAAATAAACTCAGCCATGTCTTGTGACAGTAGATCCTCATGCTTAGCGTGTTCATGATTGATTCCCTTGTTTTTGACACTGTTTTAGGAAGATTAGCACTGTCTGATTCAATGAGTCCCTGTACATTTGAGATACATAAATTTACGGATTGTAATGAAATTCCCAAAACAAACATACACTATACTTTTAGGAGTCAATATAAAGTATTCTGAGATTGAAAATAAATAGATAAATAAGTTAAACTCATCCTTAAAGATGTACAGTGAGTAACTTGGCCCTTAGTAGCGCCTTTACATATTTGAATGATGGGCTGGATGAGCCCGTGAGACAACTCTGCGGACAACTTTGGAACTTGGCCCACTTGGAAAGCACAAGCCTTTGTCAGAAGCTCATTCTATCAGGCCACAGTATTTGTTACAAAACATACAAATATAACTGCTTTCTGCTTTTAATAACTGTATTTTTAATGTTCCTAAAACAAAGCATATGAAGAAGAAACATGCTTGTATTATTCATTTTGCCAAAGGATTGTTAAACTTAAAGGAGCTGCAGGAAAGTTCTCTCACACATTAAGCTGCCAGGTGCATTTAAGTGGTGGCCTATAAAGCTGTGACTTTGTGGCTGGGCGCGGTGGCTCATGCCTGCAATCCCAGCACTTTGGGAGGCTGAGGCAGGCAGATCGCTTGAGCACAGGAGTTCGTGACCAGCCTGGGTAACATGGCAAATTCCCACTAAAAAAAACAAACAAACAAATACAAAAATCAGCCAAGCGCAGTGGTGCACACCTGTAGTCCCAGCAACTTGAGAGGCTGAGGTGGGAGGATCGCTTGAGCCTGGGAGGCAGAGGCTGCAGTGAGCCGAGATCATGCCACTGCACTCCAGCCTGGGTGACAGAGTGGGACCCTGTCTCAAAAACAAACGAAAAATTAAAAAATAAAGTGGTGCCTTCTTGACCACACTGAGCGGAGACGGATAAGGCACAGAAGTGTACAGTTCAGAGGAGCCACTGCTGAGAGATTGGTCAGGAATGACTATCGGGCGACCTCTGGAAAGACGAAGTCTGTGTGAGTGCCCACTGTAGAGATTCTATTCACACTTGCTCTGTGGCCACATCTCCCCAGTCACATCCGTTGGTCCCTGCGGAAGTTGCCTCTTTGCAGTGACACTTTCAGAGATTTCTTGAGGAGTCACTGACTGGTGGACAGTGGCACTTTTAACAAGAAGGAAACACCCTGTGCAGATAATTGAGTCCCAGAGAGAGGAGAAGCAGTGCCTCCCGCATCTGCTCCTGCCTCCAGCCTCCTGGGGCCACTTAGCTCCATCCACTTCCTCCGTCTGAGCTTCCCGGGGCCACCCAGCCGCCGGGTGAAGAAAGCATGTGAGAAGCTGTTCGCTAGTCACAGTGTCCTTCACTGGCTTCTCCAGGTTTCCCCTAACAGGAGTGGGTTTCTCATTCCAATCTGCATGTCGGCGTGCTGAGGCACCTGCGTGTTGGGGTGCCGAGCCACCTGCATGTCCGCATGCTGAGCGACCTACGTGTCGGGGTGCTGAGCCATCTGCATCTTGGGGTGCTGAGCACCTGCATGTTGGGGTGCCAAGCCACCTGCATGTCAGGGTGCTAAGCGCCCACTTGCTTGCCCCTCACTTATGCCCCTTCCTTCTCTGACCCTGGACTCTCAGCCCATGCCTGGTCACCTGGGTTAGACCTCACAGGGCTCCAATCTGACTCACTTCTGCAGTCACTCCTGTGCCCACGGCTGCTCCCTGGGAATGGATGCAGGGTGGGCTTGGTGCCTGGCCTAGAAGACAAGAGAGGAGGAAGCCCTCTACGGACACCTCCACCCTGCCCCACCAGAGTTAGGGAAGAGGGAAGGAGAACGGGCAGGCTCAGATGGGGCACCAGGTCCCTTAGACGCCCAGGAAGGAAGCCGTCGAACCCCTGGCTCATGGAGCGTCCTCCTCTCCCGGCGTCCCCTAACAGCTGTTTTCCACACTGCCTATGTGATAGCAGGCTTGTTTGGTCATATTTCTGCCTAATTATTTCATGTTCAAAAATCGTTACTGACTAAACGATGAGATCCTTAAGGGTCCCTGGCTCTTGCCCAGTGGAAATGTCAGTGAGGAAATCGACACCGATGCCTCCCAAACCCAGGCTGAGGTCCCAACAGCCCTCCCTTCTAGACCGGCAGGTCCAGCTGCCAGCCCCTCCATGGGTCCTGATGGCTCAACACCCAGGCGGCAATTCCCCTGCACCCCAGCCTCCCTGAGGGTCCTGTCTCAGCACCACCAGCTGCACACACCAAAAACCAGGGCACACGCCTTGACACACTTTCCACTTCATCCCCAAAATCAAATGCAAGCTGCTACCAACATCCCATCGGGCTTTCCCCTGCGCCTGTGCTTTTTCCACACCCCACACATATGCCTTGGCCCTTCTCCCACCCCCATCCAAGACATCGCCGCTTCCCACCTGTAAGTAGCTCCTGTAGGATGGACCACGCTCCGCAGCCCATTCCCACACGACAGCCAGAGTGTCTGATCTGCCACCCATCTGACTGGGTCACTCCTGCACCCGAAACCCTCCCGCGGCTCTCTGTGACCCTCCAAAGAGATTCCAGACCCCTTCTCCTGCTTCTTCATAAGCCCCCACTGACCTCACATCCCATCCCCCAAGGCCGTGATCAGTCCCTCTGGCCTCCTTCCTCCAGCTCAGCAGCATCCTTGCACCCCCAGCTTTTGCATAAACTGCCCCTATTGCTCTTCACTCCCCTCACTTACCTCATTCTTCCTCTTCCAAATGCCACTTCCTCAGCAAAGCCTCTCCCCGCTGTCAACTTCCCTCTGTACACGTTCACGACGCTGCACTTGTCCCCCCTTCATACCCTGTGACAGCTCCACTTCCTGCTGCATGGACTCATGAATACATCTAATAAATAAGTAAATAAATCTTAAAAAAACAAACAAACAACAGAAACCACCGCTGTACACTCCTGCATTACATCAGATCCAATTTACCTGAATCGCAAGAGGTGAATCCCTTCCAAAGGTGGTGTGTTTTCTTTTTTTTTTTTTTTTTTTTTTTTTGAGATGGAGTCTCGCTCTGTCACCCAGGCTGGAGTGCAGTGGCCGGATCTCAGCTCACTGCAAGCTCCGCCTCCCGGGTTCGGGCAGGTGGTGTGTTTTCTAACTGGTGCGAAGAAGACCATTGCAAACTCTGGGATTTAGGACTTTTCTACGACAATTTATGACAGTGATGATGAGACTGCACGCTCAGAGGAGCCACAGAGCAGAGCATACACAGACCCTGCAGAGGCACAGCAGGGCCTGGAATTCAGCAGGGGACCAAGGCACCCGGAGTCACACAGTGGGAGGCCATCACAAACCCCAGCCCTAAGGGACGGGGGAAAGAGTGATTACCCAAACCCACGGGCCGCAGGCGAAGAAATAAGACCCCATCCAAACACGGCCTGGCAGGAAAGTAGCCAGGAAATAAGGGCCCAGCCTCTCCCCTTACCTCCTTCTGATCTTACACCAGGGATTCCATTGCCCAAACCCAACTGAAGGCCAGAGCCCTGGAGGGTGGCGTCCGTAGAGACCAGCCTCCCAGGGCCCAGACTGGATGTGGAATGTCAGCATATGGGTCTGAAAGGACAAAGAGGGACTTCCTGGCACACCTGTTCCTTTTGCCAGGTGGACATAAGAGAAAGATGATGGAGAAAGCTCCCACCTCCAAGAGCTGAGGTCTCTCTTCTCTCACACACAAGGCCTTGTTTTGCGTGCGGTTTAGTGAAGCAATAGGTGCTGGCTGGTGGCACAGCTCAGAGACTATGTATCGTATGCAGGTGTCCCGGGAGCATCTGTCCTCCTCGGAACCACAGGAACCTGGTTTAGGAACCACACTCCTGGGTCCACCGCTGCCCTGTCCAGGGAACAGGGCTGACCATGTGGCCCATGCTCATCTTCCCCTTTTTTTCTTATGATACGAAAACTAAAATTGCAGGCATTTTGAGCCCCCTCACAAAATGTGCAGCTTCCAAACTTGTGTGGCCCGTGCTCGTCTTCCCCTTTCTTTCTTATGATACGAAAACTAACACTGGAGGCATTTTGAGCTCCTCACAAAATGTGCAGCTTCCAAACTTGTGTGACATTGGCCAAGCTGCCTTTCTGAGCAAATCAGGTGCGTGAACATCACGGCACAGCAGACAACATCCACAGCTGGCCTCAAACAGTCTCCCTGCTTCACCTCCTCAAGTGCATTAAGACATTTTCGAGCTTGCTTGCAAGTTCCAACCTTAAAATCCTGATTATTTATTTATGCCCTTTTTGTCTAAGAAGTTAAATCCCCAAAGCATCTCAATTTAGATCAAAAGCAGTTTACCAAACTTCACCTGGCGCACCTGTGCCTTGTGATTTGTTAATTACCTGCTTAGCATTTCCAGAGCTGCGAGGCAGAGCCGCAGCCTCGTTGGCTGCAGGGAGAAACCTCTGATACTCGCCTCCTGCAACACAGCCTTCCAGAACGCCTGGGGTGTTCACCGGGTGAAGCTGCTCCACCGGACTAAGCCCCATGCACTTCTGCAAATTGCTTTTATTTTCCAGGGGGAAGGACGCGGCGTGGAGCACACACACACGTGAATGCAGTAAGCTGCTGACATGTTTCTTGGCTACCTGATCAAACTCTGCAATGGTCCTAATCTGTCTTATCAGCAGCGTCCTATCACACGTGAGATCATCAAACAGCAGCGCCCCATTGATTCCCCCAGCGCCTTTGGTTGACAATTTGGCATTAGAATATTAGGAATAACAGTAATTATGGCCTTTACAATTGCTTCAAATGAAAGAGATCATTAAAGCGCACACATGAAAAGATGATCTCATTTCTGAGATAGCTCTGGTCGGTTTTCTTCCTTTTTTTTTTGTTTTTTCTCCTTCTAAGTTCTTAGCAATCATCCCTGCGTTTTCTCTGTAGCTGGGGAAGCAGCAGAGGAATGAAAAAGACATGGGGGTTTGTGAAGCAGCACGGTGCACTGACGTTTTTTGTCCTTCCTCCCACCCCCCACCCCCCAGTTTTCTTGTGAAGAAACAGAAAGCATAACCTTTTCTGAACTCAGCACTGCCAGAGAGGGCCAGGAAAGGGTGGCATGTGCCAGCTGCTGGCCTGCCTGGGTCATGTGCATGGAGTTGTTCCTTTTTAAGTTAAGCTCTGGGGAAGCTAAGTGTACTCCATGCTTTGAGGCATCTAGAAAATTAAGATTATAAAATTCACTGGCTTCTGGAAGTAATAATAAAGACGTAGCTCAATGCCTCTCCTCCATAGAGGCGCTCTTATCCTCCGCGTAGAAGTGATCACTCCCCCATCGAGCTCCCACTGTATTTTTATCTCTCCATGAAACTTGCCACGTTTTGACTTGCACCCTAATTGTAATTATGTCCCAGCTCATTCGTGATGCTGCAAGTCCCTTTAAAGCCAGATCCTATCGCTGACTCCTCTGTATCCCTCTTCCGCACCCAAACTGACTCTCCCTCGGACCTGCACATAGGCACCACTCACGGCCTGCACTCAGGGCTGCCGCTGAGGCACCTGGTTGACCACCTCTTGCGTGGTTTGTATCTCTTAGCGTCTTTACTCATCTGCAGGATTCGCAACATCTTCCCAATCAGAACTTGTATTTCCAATCTCGCTTCACGTTCTAAAACTCCATCAGAATTTCTTCCCAAATATCCCGCGCTATCCCAGTCTCACCGCAAGATCTTGATGTATTGATTAGAAGAAATGGTACCTTAGAGAGAGCGGGGGGAAATGTATCACAGCAATCACAGTTAAATAAATCCTATCCTTCATAAAATAATGAAATAAGTAATCTAAAAAAATACAGTGAATAATGAATCGAGATCAACTGACTTCCAGCTGCTACGAAGAAAAACAGGCTCTGGTTCGTTTTCCACAGGAGCGTGAAATGAGTGGAGCTTCTTCATCCACAAAATGTGATCGTTTGGATAATGGCACTCACCCGGCTCTACATGTGCTGAGTGTTCCAGGACCTGGGCATGTCTTCACACTAATACTCATTTATGATTGAAGTTGTGCAAACTGAAAAGATACATGTCTGTTTATTCACATCAATGGTGATAGCTGGACTAATCCCAAAGCAATACGAAACCAAACACAAGCAGTGCTGTGCTGCATGTGGTGGGAGAGGGTCCTCGCATCGGAACACCTGGCTTCAAGTCCCTCCCCAGCTAAAGAGCCCGTGTGTTCGGGCCACTGGCTGCCCTCAGGCCCTCAGGCTCCTCAGGTCATAAACTGAAGGGGCCGGAGTCAGGACTTTTCTGATCCAAACTGTGCCAAAGGGAGTTTTTATCCTTTATAGAAACCCCAGAACTTCCAACAGGTCAAATAAAAACCACAGTAATTTGAAGGTAGAAGCTGCTTGTATCTCTCCTGTGTAGCCTTTTGCTCCTATTTCTTCTACATCTCTCAAGGAGCCACCGAAACGGCGGCCTTTGGGAAGCCTCCACGCAGCACCATTGACCGACAACGTACCAGAGACTCCAGGATCTAACCAAAGGTGGAGAACAGCTATTTGAGTTATAGCCTCTCAGACACACCAAAAGTCAAAGCAACCAAAAATCGTGAAGGAGGAAAGCGTCTGCATTTCCGCTCTTTCTAGAGTGGCCGTGTGAAAACAGCCCGGCCTGCCACGCTCAGCCTCCGAGGCGCAGGCTTTGGACGAAGCTGCTTTTGCCAGGAAGGTGCACCCTTCCCAGCTCCATTCCAGTCTAGAATTAAATTGCCTGTGGTTGGTATCAGCACCCAAAGCAAATTATGTGATGGGCCAGAAGGCACAGACCACGTCTCCTCACACCCAGCATCGCCAGGCGCCCCAAACACTGCACTGAATGCCCAGAGTGAGCCTGAGTGAGCCCTGGAGCACACAGAGCCCCGGCCTCCTGCCCTCCTGGCCTGGCATGGAGCCACCCTGTGTTCATCTCCTGAGGCTGCTGTCACAAATGACCGCAAACTTCGTAACTTCAAACAGAAATGCATTTTCTCCTAGTTCTGCAGGACAGAAATCCGGTATCAGAGTTGGTTCCTTCCAAAGGCTCTGGAGAGCGTCCGCTCCATCCCGTCTCCTCCTGGGAGCTGCTGGCAACCCTTGGTGTTCCTTGGGCACAGATGCATCCCTCCAATCCCTTCCTCCACTGTCACGTGCAACTCTCCCTGTGCCCCTGTCTGTGTCATGGGGTCTCGGGCCTCCCTGATTAGTCCAGGATGATCTCATCTTCAGGTCCTTAATTACATCTGCGAAGGCCCTTTTGCCCAAATGAGGTCCCATTCATGGGCTCCAAGTGGACTAATTTTGGGGGGTTGGGGGCATCATTCAGCCCCTTACGCAGCACTCTTCCTCAAGATGCTTAAAATTGTGAAGCCTTTTACTCCTATTTTTGTGTATCTCTCAATGAGCCTAACCAAATGGCAGCCCTTGGGAAGTCTCCAGGCAGTGCTATTGACCAACAAGGTTATCACCAGTCCGGTTTTCCTGTAGAGCATGCTGGCCTTGCCTTTCCAAACTCCTGGAAAGCAAGAACAAAAGTTTTTATTAAAAAACATTACCATAGAATGGGCACATATTAGACACTTCATGTTTCATTGAACGGATCGTTTTTGAGTAAACTTTTCCTGTGATAGCCTTTGGTCGTTGCTTTATTTCCCTAAGAATCCATTTTGTGAATTTGGATCACGGATAAGAGAGATGAATGAAGAATGGAGAATATTGTCTTTTCAAACATTCATTCAACAAACTGAGTGCCAGCCATGCATGCAACCTGTGTATAGGGCTGGAAAGAAGCAACTGAACCAAGAGCCCAGTCCCCTCAGAACTCACAGCCCAACTGGGAATTTACTACTGATCCATGTGGTCAGGCAATCATGCACCTGCAAACAGGTAAGGGCACAGAGGAGGAAGCAGCTCGCTCTGGAGTGGGGGAGATGTCTCAGGAACGGGCCGCACTGGGTGGGGAGAGAAGCAAGTTCAGAGCCAAAGGAGGAGATTTGGGAATTCTACAGGTTTGGCGTGGGAAATGAAGGAAGGCAAGGCTTAAAGTATGAATGGAAGCTGGTTTGGAAATTATCTCAAATGCTACATTGAACCCCTCCCTGTAGGCATGGGGTGTGATGAAGCCATTGAGCACAACAGTTCCCCGCTTCTGCAGTTGGCAACACCCTCACCCTCGTCCCCACCAGGGTCTCTGACATGGAGGTGAAGGCTGTACAGAGCACCCTCACCCCTGCCATGGTCTTTGACATGGAGGTACAGGCTGTATAGAGCACCCTCGCCCCTGCCATGGTCTTTGACATGGAGGTGCAGGCTGTACAGAGCACTCCCGCCCCTGCCGGGGCCTTCGACATGGAGGTGCAGGCTGCACAGAACAGCCTCACCCCTGCCAGGGTCTGTGATGTGGAGGTGCAGACTGTATAGAGCACCCTCGCCCCTGCCAGGGCCTCTGACATGGAGGTACAGGCTGTACAGAGCACCCTCGCCCCTGCCATGGTCTTTGACATGGAGGTGCAGGCTGTACAGAGCACCCTCGCCCCTGCCAGGGCCTCTGACATGGAGGTGCAGGCTGAACAGAACAGCCTCACCCCTGCCAGGGTCTGTGATGTGCAGGTGCAGGCTGCACAGAACATCCTAACCACTGCCAGGGTCTCTGATGTAGAGGTGCACTACAGAACAGCAGGGGAGGCCATTCACATTGGAATGTGTGAGAATGATGCTCCCAGGCTTATACAGTGTTCAACGATGCAGCCAGATGAGGCTGCCCTGCCCTTCACTCTTTCTTCCCACCTGTCTTAGTTCATTTTCTGTTGCTTATAACAGAATACCTGAAACTGAGTAACTTGGAGTTTATTTCTTACCGTTATGGAGGCTGAGGAGTCCTAGGTCAAGGGGCCACATCTGATGAGGGCCTTGCTGCTGGTGGGAGGTCTCTGCAGAATCCAGAGGTGGTCCAGGGCATCACACAACTTGGGGGCTGAGTGTGCTCGCTCAGGTCTTTCTTCCTCTTCTTACAAAGCCACCAGTTCCCACTCCCAGGTTAACCCATTCATCCATCAACCTATGAACAGACTAATCCATTCCCAAGGGCAGACCCTCATGATGCAATCACCTCTTTAAGGCCCCACCTGTCAATACTGCCACAAGGGGGATTAAATTTCAGCAAAAGTTTTGGAGGGGACGTTCAAACTGTGGCACCACCCCTAACAGTTCTTCATATAAAAAGCAGGGTTTTGCAGTTAGATATTTTGGGACTTGAAACTAGCACCAGTCATGCATTAGAACTAATCAGAATAAAGCTGACAGACTGTCCTAAAAGCTTGCTTGGTAACTCATCCTAGCATTTACAACATATAAATAAGTCATGTCTATTATAGCTGCGCAGAAAGCCCGCAACAAGAGGGCAAATGAGAGAGGATAAAAGGTTGCCAAACTGGGAATGTGTCTACCCGGGTATTACAGGAATTATTTTAAGATTTCACTTAAGAAGGGAGCATAAGAACAGATTTATGAAATGGGAAGAAGTTCAAGTTACACGCAGTGGCCTGAGCAGTTGACTTCCTGTCTTTCTGAGCCTCAGGTTGCAACACCTATAAAATGAGACATCAGATGTTGCCTCTCTATTTTATGCAGTGACTGTCAGGATCTTATATGAAAACTCATGGGGAAGCTTAAAGGGAGAGATTCATGTAAAATACAGTTATTGTCAGGGAAAGAGATAAGGGGCACTGACTCTTAGGACTGGGAAGGAAGTAACGCACACCTCCTTTTACAGTCTGAGCTTTCTTCTCCCGGTTTGCATTCCATTCTCTAACACGTTGGGGAGATCATTAAAAAGCAATAATCCTGCACGACAAAATAGAGTCAGCAAAGAGCGGAGAATCTGGCTTATACCTACAGAGAGAAATGGAGGAGGAGGGAGAGAAGACAATCTTAGGAGACTTGGGCCAAAGTATTAGCATGCTGCAAGGGTGCATTAGTGAGTCTGTACGCATTACAACAGCGCTTTCAGCTTACTCAGGCCTGGCAGCTCAATACAAGAAAGAGAGACAATTTGGAATAGGTTCAGAGAAGAACAGAGTAACAACAATATTAAGGGGCTGGTTTCAAGGATTGATTTAGTTCGAAGAAAGATTAAGGACGCTAAGTGTGTACAGCTTTCCTAATCACGGACTAAGTGAAGACAAGACAAACATCATCAGATATTTAAAGAGTAGAAGCAGTGAGGATAGAAAGGGATTATTTCGACGAGATTCTCAATTTATGCAACATGGTGTAAACTGTCATAAAAAGCTCCAGGATGAGGACTTGGCTCATGCAGATGAAGTGGGAAATGGAGTTCAGCTGGAATTAGTTTATGGCGCTGCACTTACTCTCACAGAGAAGTCTCTCTCAAGACATTAAGGCTGAAAGCTGAAGTTGATCTTCATTTAGGGGATGGGAGGCTGCATTTACATTAAAATAAACCAGCATCTTGATAGGCCACAAACCGGCACGGATGGGATTCAGGCAAGGACACTGACTGCCCATCCCAGGCTCACCATTTCCCAGTGAGCCACCACGGAGGAGTATAAAGCCATGGGCTACTCACGCCTGCCAAGGAGAAAGAGATCTCACAGTGTCTGACTTCTTAACTCATTCCCCTCCTCCACGCTCTGTTAACCAGTATTTTAGCTCTACCATGGTCCTACCCGCTCACATCAGGTATTACTATTACTAATAATTAACATGCTTTTTTGATTTCTTGTTTGCCATTGCCTTTGGTTGTTTCTCATGGATTTTGTTAAGTTTTGTTGCTGTGGTGGTGGTGGTAGGGGGGTCGGAGGTGGTGGAGGTGATGGTAGTGATGATGCTGATGGAAGTGATGGTGGTAGTGGTGGTGGTGGCGGTGGTGATGGTAGTGATGACGATGATGGTGGTAGTGGTGATGATAATGGTGGTGGTGGTGATGGTGGAGGTGATAGAGATTATGATAATGGTGGTGGGGATTGTAATGGTGGTGGTAGAGGTGATAGTTACGGTAGTGGTGGCAGTGATGATAGCAATGATGATGGAGGTGATAGTGATGATGATGATGGTGGTAGTGGTGGTGGAGGTGATAGTTATGGTGGTGGTGCTGGTGACAGTGGTGATGACGATGATGGTGGTAGTGGTGATGATAATGGTGGTGGTGGTGATGGTGGAGGTGATAGAGATTATGATAATGGTGGTGGGGATTGTAATGGTGGTGGTGGAGGTGATAGTTACAGTAGTGGTGGCAGTGATGATAGCAATGATGATGGTGACAGTGATGATGATGATGGTGGTAGTGGTGGTGGAGGTGATAGTTATGGTGGTGGTGCTGGTGACAGTGGTGATGACAATGATGGTGGTAGTGGTGGTGATAGTGATGATAATGGTGGTGGTGGTGGAGGTGATAGCAAGCATGATGGTGGTGGAGGTGATAGTGATTGTGATAATGGCGGTGGTGATTGTAATAGTGGTAGTGTGACAGTGATGATGATAGTGGTGGTGACAGTGATCATCAAGGTGGTGGTGGTGATGGGAACGGTGGCAGTGGTGGTGGTGGAGGTGATAGTAATGACGGTGGTAGTGGTGGTGTAGGTGTTATGTCGGTGGAGGTGTTATGGTGGTGGTAGTGGTAGTGGTGATAGCAATGATGATGGTGGTGGTAGAGGTGATAGTGATGATGATGGTGATGGTGGTGGTGGAAGTGATGGTAATGATGGTGGTAGTGGTGGTGGAGGTGTTATGGTGGTGGAGGTATTATGGTGGTGGTGGTGATAGCAATGATGATGGTGGTGGTAGAGGTGATAGTGATGATGATGGTGGTGGTGGTGGTGGTGAAGGTGATAGTCGTGGTGGTGGTGACAGTGACCACGATGGTTGTGGTAGTGATGGTAATGATGGTGATGGAGGTGATAGAGATGATGATGATGGTGGTAGTGGTGGTGGAGATGATAGTTATGGTGGTGGTGGTGGTAGCAATGATGATGGTGGTGGCGGAAGTGATAGTGATGATGATGGTCGGGGGTTAATGGTAATGATGGTGGTGGTGATGATGTTAGTGGTAGTGGGGGTAGTAGTGACAGAGGTAGTGCTGGTGATACTTTTTCTTCGTAAACCTCAAGAACAGTTGAGTTAACTGCATTTTATTTATTTATATATACATGTATATATACACATACACACACACACACACATATATATGTATATCTCTTTTTTACAGATATTGCCACTTAACATAGGCAATATATTCTTTAAAATCGTGAAAATGCTAACTGGGAACTTATATCTATTATTTTCAAAGGAAATTTTTAGCCAATAACTCCAAACCAACTTTTCCAAATGTAACTACAACACCTCCATACTGGAAAGCAAATTATTGTGATCAGATGAGATATGCTCCATGCAGTGATGTGGTCTTACCCAGTGTTAACAACACCCAAGACACACAGCCCTGTCTTTCACAAAACATCCACGTGGGACTCTGACCATCCAGTCATTGAATTTAGAAAGGAATGAGCTCTCCCTGCTTACTTCTTTGCTTTTGTTTTAAATATTGTATTCGTATTGACATTTAGAATCCTAAGCATAAGATTATTTTTTGTAAAACATCAGCCGGAAAATGTTGCATTGAAAGAAACGTGCCTCTATGACAATTGGGTATTTAAAAACCAAGAGATATTCCACTGGAGGGAAAAACAAAAATGTTACCCAGGACGACTCAACAGACAGTGCCTGCAGTTTTTTGTGTGTATGTTACACATCGATCTAAGTGGTCATGAAGTATAGATCTCATGCTGTCTGTTACTTTTTTGGCTAACACATTTTTAAGATCTGTTTCTGCTACTCAAGCCATGTCTCATCCATCACTTACCACTGCCCCATGTCCCACAGTGTCCATTTGCCACATTTGACCCAGCTGTTCCCAAGTGATGAACCCCAAGGCTGCCTCCAACACCTAGCCTCACATTCAGAGTTACAGCAAACACCCCAAACTTGGAATACACGGACCTGAATGACAGTTCCTCTGGAGTATGCCCAGGAGTGGGGTTGCTGTATCATCAGATATATGAATATTTAATTTTGCAGCAGAATTCTAGATTGCCTTCCAGACTGGCAGCCCCACCCACCCTCCTTCCAAGCGTTCATGAGATCTCCCATTTCCCCACATCCTTGCCTATCTTGATATTAAAACACTGTCTACTTTTTGCTAACCTGATGTGTACACAGCAGTGCATATAACATTCTCGTCCTGATTTACATTCCTTTAATTAGTAGTAAAACTGCCCATTTCAAAGGCAGCATTCCTTCCATTGTCCACGGCTTCCACAGGATACAGCTCCTGAGCTTCTGAGAGATTCTGGGGCTCCCCTCACCCCTACATTCCTCAGCACCTTGTGACAGGGAATGTTTCTCTTTTTGATCTGCTTTTACAAAAATTGCTGGGTTATCCATGTGCCTTTATCCTTCTAAATAAATCAGCTTGTTGAGTTCCTAAAATTATTTGCTGAAATGTTTGTTGGATTTACATTGAAATTATTGATTAATTTGGGACAAATTGACATCTTTATGGTATTAAATTGTTCTATCCATCCATGAACCTGGTATATCTTCCCACCAGTTAAA